ACTGGCCCGATTGCCATTATCCGATAAATGCGTCCTCGATTTTCTCCAACTTCGGTGTCGGAATTGTGTTGGATCCGCCATCGTGTTCGGCGGGTAGACAATCGCCGAAAATCGCGGTTATACCACTGTGTTATAGATGTTTTTATTTCTTGCGTTATATTTTGAATTTAATCACTTGAGTCGGAGATGTGGTGGCTTATTTTTTAGATCCATGTGATTGTTAAGAGACAACAATGGATTCTGGCAGCTGCGCATTCCTCCCCTCCTCCTTCCCAGCGGGGAGGTCAAGTTGAAGATGACGGAGGTGAGTCCAGAAGCTCGGGCTCGTGGAGATGTCGGCAGTATATGTTGCGTGTATAGGCAGTATATTTTCAGTATATGTTTCGTTGGTCCGTGCTCGTGGAGATGTCGTAAAGCCGTGTTGTTTGTTTTCCACACATCTTTGTTGTTATGAGTAGTTTAAGATATGCATATAATTCATATTTTATTCTCTTTATGTTAAGATGTATAGATTTTCCATTATACTATTTTTATGCTTATTCCATTCATGAACTCATTTTTATTCAATTAGTTGACATTTTTTTCAAAGCTACTACCCTTTGTATTTTTATCATATACTCTACATATACTAAAATAGTTAATTAAAATAGTGATTATGATCATTTTATCATATGTATATGACAGGTCCTATACGGAACAAAAAATCATACATCATAATTGTGGTTAGATAAAAATGTTGTGTAAATAAAAAATGCAACATATACTGAATATATTGTCTATAAACGCAATAAACTGAACCAAAATTCAAATATCATGATTGTGTAATTTGTATATAGTCAGAAGATAAAGTTGTTTGAAATTCAAATTCATATCTTTCTATTTTGCATTGAGACAACATCCTAATTTGTAGGATATCTAAACTTACCATGTATATATTATCTTTTAATAATGTAATTCTGAAATCCAATTAACCTGTGCAATTTAAGGAGGCGTCGCACTTCTTTTTTGGTAACTGATGTCTTTACATATGTACAATTAAATGTCATGTAGATGGTAAACACTTCATATTTAACTAGTGCAGAGCTCGTGCGATGCACGGGGTGCACAATTTTAAGGCTATACAGCGAGGATTATTATTATATACATGAATAAAGAAAAATGTACATGATATATATAGTACGTGCCCGTGCGATGCACGGGATATATTTATTTGAAGAATATTATATTATAAGATGCAATATTAAATAAAGTGATTTATAATACGTATGGAAATTGTACAATAAGATAGTATTCGACAAAGATGCAATCATATATTATTAAAGACCTCCTTCTACACAACATTATGAGTTTTATTATTAGTCAACTCGTTATCCTCAGAAACTAATGTCTTCAACCCCCTTCTATTAGTTACACGCGAAACAACAACATATAATAAATACATTTAATGAAGTGGTAACTTGTACCTTTTCTACAAACATATTAAACATTTGCATGTTAAGAATGAATAATTGATTATGAAAGAGTGTAGAAATTATTAGAAAAACAAAACAACATGGTTAGAATGAGATTAGTAAAAATACTTCATGGGTTGAACATTTAAATTAAATAATTGAAATAATTGAAATGAAATATTAAATGATAGGTATTCTCTGGAACATACAAGTTGCATGATTAGTACCCATGATTGACCAGTTTCTTCATAGTGGCTCTTGAAAGCAGAGTCGGTCCTGAAAAATTATAGGCCCTGGGCCAATTGAATATATAGTGCCCAAATTATTTTTATTAAAAACAAAAATTATAAACAATATTACATATTATAAAAGAAAAATGATGAAGATTATAAAAAATTGAAAAAATTTATTAAAAAAATGACAATAAGTAAAGGAATATAAATCATGTTCAGTTCTTGTACAAGAAAAAAGACGACACAATATAAACATTGTTTTAAACTCTAATTCACATTAACCATATGTTTAATTTTATTGTTATCTCGAATAGTCAACTCTTTTGTTGCAAAAAATACTAATATTATTTTCAATATATATATATATATATACATATATATATATATATATATACATATATAATAACCAAATAACAACAAATTGAAACTCACATTTATAATGGATAATTCAATGCCCTATAATGACTATAACTTATATGATTGAATTATATGCACACAAGTAAAATTTTGCATATTCAAGTAAGAAATTAAAACATATTTTTATCAATTGAATGACAAAATGAGAGAACAAAATATATATACAAATATTTAAGTTAATTATTAACTATCATAAATTAATTTCATCATTAGAACTTCACTATATTTAGTTATGTGAGAATGAAGGAAAAAAATTAACTCATTTTAATAACCAATTATACTAAAATATTTTTTTTTCCTTTAAAATTATCTAAGAATTTGTGCCCTTAAAATTTTCGGGCCCTGGGCGGCCGCCCCGCTGGCCCTGCCCTAGGGTCAGCTATGCTTGAAAGCCAAAAGTTTACATATTCACCCCAAACTGTGCAATTTACGAAATTTTCACTGCATTAAATTTTGAAATTGTTAGATATGTAATTCATATAATAAAATTATATGATTATAATTGATTATATTGCAGAAAAAACTGCAGTAAAAAAAATAACATACTTTAGATCCATAAGAATGAATGCAACCATTTGGATATCGTCAGTTTTTATTTGTTTCTCTTGCACACTTTGAATGTCAACAACCAATCCTATAACATCTCCAATAAAAAAAAACCAATATGTTATAATTTAATTACTTTGAAATAAACAAATAAAATTAGAAACAAAATGAAATAATCTTACCGAATAACATCGATTCATCGATTTTGTTGACATATTGTAGAGTTGCAAAGTCTTTGAATTGAAATCGAAATGCAGGAAATTCTTCCTTGCACTTTGTAAACATGGTGCTCTCGTGCAGCATGATCTTAAAATCACCGGATGTCGAATGATACTCCCTATATTGTTGTCCACTTGATAATTTTTTATACAAATGAACATGCCCTCTTCAAAATTCCTCTCTCTAAACGCAGCCAAGTTGCTTGCCCGTAGCCATGTCGTAATGCGATTACCCTAAACATATACAAAAAAGCAATCAATGAAAAAATAATTTGTTTTAAAAACATAAAAAATGTATATTATATATACACGAAAATATATGTTAGACATTTCAAAAAAAAAAAAAAAGTAAAAATAGTTTGGCTTACAGTTTTATCATGTAGAACCAACTCAATATAGGATTTGTATGTGTTGCCTAGTCTTGGAAAAATATTCTTACCATTCGAACTTTAATCATAGGTCTATTAAATCTATTAACTTGTTTGATTAAGCCAAATTCTTGATTCATTGTTAGGAATGACACAATTATTGGGGATTTTTTTTTTCCGCAGGTGGTTGAAAGTGAGGAACACGCTGATTCAATATTTGGATATTTATAATTTATAGTTGTATTAGCGCATTATATGTAGAAATAATGTGAAGGAAATCATATCATATCATTATATGTAGGAACGAATGTGATCAGATTTATATCGCATTATAATTATAATTGCATTAAAATAAGATTTTCCATACAACAAAACACTTTGATTTAGGCGTGAAATCTGATTTAATTTTGGAAGAAGTTTTTTTTTTTTTTTTTGGTTGACCGATCAAAACTTTTTTTTTTTATTGGTTTAGTAATAAGTAGTAAGTAGAATGCATTGAATAAAATAATTAATAAGTAATTAAATAAAACAATTGATGGAAATAGCATACATTAATTGTCCTTTGACTTTTCTACTTAATAATTTTGATAAATGAGATAACTTATTATATAAGTATAGATATGTAATATTGTATGTTACTATGTTGTGAAATTGAGGATAGTACATCCCGTACTCTTTTGTTTGTTCCACATAATATTTAGGAATATATTTTAATGCAATTCAATTTATTGAAATAACGGCTTCTCCTTTGTTAATTATTTGTTTTTTGTTTATTGATAAGTCAAATATTTTGTTTACCTGTTATAATTTAATTGTGATTATAATTTATTGAGATACTTACTGATTATTAAAGTTTTGTCATTATAATTTATAGTAGTATACAGATAGAGATAGTATAGAGATTGCTAAGATCAGGAAAGGGGGGAAAAGAAAAAGAACAAGGCGCTTACTCAACACTGCACTTAAGGGGCATAACATTGAGATCTGCCCTGAGTTACAGAACACCAAATATCACAGTACACTAAACAGAAATTTGTTTTAAGCTTTTACACTCAATGCGCAAAACCATTACCCAACAAATCAGAAGGCAAAAAAAAATGATATTACATCGAACGGCGCAGGTCTAAATTGGACGATCATAACATGTAGAGACCTGCCGTCTTGATTCATTAGGAATATGTTCTTCAGACAACTCACCCAATAGACGGAAAACGAAATTTCAACTTGCATAAGCAGTGGAGATAATCGAGCAAAACTAAAGCTCTCGTCAGGATGGCTTCACAGCAGAAAGTAAACCAACCCTTTCGAGCACGGGGGAGGCGTACAATTTTATCTCAAAGTCCCCCTTAGGAAGTATTATATGTTGACAAGGTAAACTTTATGTGTGTTGCTGTTGTACACTCACGTGGAAGCATCTCCAAACATAGTTAGTTGTCTAATAGCCGTTCTCGATTGTAGCTGCGCAGAAAATAGAGAACAATAAAATTAACATAACGAATTCAAACGACGACAAAGAAATGAATACACACAAAAGAAGAAAAAAAAAACAAAAACTAATTACAGTAAAATGGCAATTGTTCAAATTTTTTATTATTCCCGTGAAATGCAATTTTTTTTTTTTTTGGGGGGAAGACAGGAAGGTGTCAGGGTAATAAATTGCATAAAATTAAAAACTTCAAGGGGATATTTGTATTCTCGGAAGATAACTGGACTTTCTTGTAACTAGACGAGATGTTAAGGTTAGTATTCAGTAATTATCTCTAATCATCAAGCAAGACATCTCCCACGCACCTTTACATCCAAACAAGGGTCATTGACCATGCTCTTTAGTTGAGGGACTATACCGGCATTACACAGTTCAGTCACCCGCCCACATACACCTGGACTGCTCGGAAAAGTGAGATTCACTATAGTCCAAACAGTAGCCGTTCGTAGTTGGCTGTTACTGCTCTGTAACAACTTGATCAGAACAGTTTCCGTTTCATTGCCTGCCTGTGGAAAAAGTTGGCTCATAACGGCTTCTTTGTGGTGCTCGTTCCCAGAGGCCAAATTGCAGAGTGTGTACATACACTGAGACCCAAAAAAAAAAGAAAAAAAAAAAAAGAAAGAAAGAGAATAGAGCAAGGATTATTATTCATCATGAAAGAGAGAGAATGTATTACATCACTCAACCTTAAATTGCCAATAGCAAGCACATTAATAATGCAGTCAACGAAAAAAAGCAGCAATTACCATACAAGCAAAAATTCTGAAAGAGATTGCACAAAAGAAAGTGACAAGTGTTTTTTTTTTTTTTTTTGGTCGAAAGGCGGAAGGGACTACCTTTTTCATGCTATTTCGATATTGGTACAACCTTATGTGAAGAGATAAATGATATCATCAGATAATGCCGCTAGTGATTTCTGGGAAGTAAACAGAGCAACTAGATGCTACGACAAAGGTAAACAACTTCAGGAAGATAGAAAACTACTTACTTGAACCAGGACTTCCGCTGAAGTGTTTTTCAATTGCCTTCCAATAGCATGCAATAGAAGACCACCTTCACCGAAAACGTACTCGATTGAATTCAAAGGACCATCCACAAGATTCCGAACTAAACCCAAAGCTTGCTCTTGGACAGGAGCCTCAGGGTCTGCATCATCAATAAACAGAAGATGGGAATGAGTATCTCCCTAGAAAAAACAAATAAATAAATAAAAATAAAAAACAAAAATCGTCGGTTTAATAACAAAAATTACCCCGAGATTTATATTATTCTCACACACATACTGTAGGGGAAAAACACTTTCTCCTCTTGACGCAAGTTGAACCTCAGGGATTTATTTATTACCATAACTAGTTTATTATTACAAAATAAAAAGTGACAATTACCACTGATGAGGCTTGTTAATGTGGACGTTGATAACTCCAAGAGAATTTCTTCTTTACATCTGTTGTTTACATGGAACGCAAGATTCTTCAAAGCCAATACAGCATCGACTCTAACAGCAGATTCCATGGACCTTGAAAGCTGAACCAGTTGTTTCAAACCCCCACATTGCATGAACAGAGATTTACGTTGCATGAAATCAACCACCACATTACCAATAGCGCGCAAAGCAGCAATCTGTAAAGAGTACAATTTTAGGGATACACACTATTTGATAAGAGTAATGTGAGCTCGGGGGTCTTTCAATTCAAGCTTCTTCAGCTACCTTCCTACCAGACCAACAACTCAAAGAAGTAACTTGAAAGGTATTTGGTAACAGTGGAAGAAGTCCTAAATTTATTAGTCCAATAGTTATCAAATGTGAAAATGTGTGATAAAGTCTATGAAGGCCATAAATTGGTTCTAATTGGCTCATTATTGTGCCAAGACTTACAAAGATAGTAGTGAGGAAAATGGATGGTTCAAAGAACCAATAGTTCTAAATCTGCTTCTACAGAATCCAACTTTCACAATTCCTATCAACTTGCACATAGCTATTGTTTGTTTTCCAAATAATCTTTTGACGGTTAGTTACAAAAACCTGTCCTTGGGTGATAGCCTTAGTGCTAAGAGAAAATAACAAGAACAGGGAAAAGGAGCAGCAGCTCTGATAGAGTTAAGGGTTAAAGCAAACGAAAATAACAGATGATCAATATCAATATTATTAATTAAGGAAATAACTTAAAAACAACTCGGGACGAATCCTGGCTAGCCTAAGGCCGATACCTTGAGAGAAAACTTCATGCACAAAATTAAAGCCGACAATCCTATTCAACAAAAGATAACCCTAGTGTTAACTGATAGTCTACATATATAGAGTCCAACCCCTAAATATAACAATAAATGGATAATTCTAAGCAAGTGGGCCCGGAAGCCCAATAACTGAAATAAATGAATAACAATCTGTCTCTAACAAGCTCAATTGTCTAAGTCTCACGTATACAAAAGCTATTTTGTTTCGCATACAAATTGCACCCTCAATAGAAAGGTATTTCCTGACATTTGATTAGGTATGTGAAACAAGTTTAAGTTGGGACTTGTAATTCTGGAAGATATTAGCAGTTTCTTATAATTAGGATAAAAGCTAGAGGGTAGTGATCATAAAATATGTTAAAAATTCTGAAGTTACTCATCTGGGCAATAAGATGGTGCAGTACATGCATGGCAATGTAACATTGTGTTTCACTATGACTAATCCATTGGTGTTGGACCAATCAAAGCTATTATAAACAACTCATCCCACGGTAGTCCACATCTTACAGTTTCTTATCTGATCATAATTCATAACAATGCATGGAATTCACTGAATAGTGTGGTAATGCAGGGAAGAAAAGAAGAAATGAATAACAAACCAATGATGTCAATCATGAACTTGCTGACCTTCCTAAAGCTTAAATTAGAGTGTATATTAGGATTCCCTATTCGGCAGAAGAGATATATACCTGGACAAAACTGGAAGAATCATTCAACAGCTGAACCAAAGGGACGGTGACCCTTTCATTCATAAAATGACCTGCACTTAAATTCTGAAGACTATTTTCATTAAAATCACCATATAGGCAAGAAAGAGAATAAAAAACGATTTGATCCTTACAAACCTTGACAGAACGAGAAACATTCTTCAAGAAAATGCACACAGCAGAACGAACATCGGCACTATCATGAGCTAATGCTTCTGTTGCATAGTTTAAGACCTACACAGAAAGTAGATACAATGGTGAAAACAAAACTATAAATGCTTGTGACCATCATAAGATTTAAGCTATATTTTCTGCAAAGTATGCAATTTATTCAAGTGTTAACTCACTGAGTTAGCAACTGAAAAGAGATTAGATATAAGTTGTGTATGTGTTATTCCATGCACAAATCGGCTGTCTTCAAAGTAATGTTTACATGTATAATACTTTATAACTATCAACATTGACAAATATCTTAAGACAGAGAATAAAAATCCCAGGCTTGTATGTGAAAAATCTAACCCTTCACATAGGTAATGAAAAAGATAGGCCAAAAATTATATCCAGTTACAAGAAAAGGGAAGGATCACAAAGAGAACCATGCTTAAGGGATGAACATTAGGACAAAAGAAAGAAGTCTTAGTGTCTTACGAGGTTCAACAATAGACTGCAACATGTTTATAACAAATCATTATTGATGATTCACACATCAAATCAGAATTAGATGGAGACACATTTTATTTCTTCCTTCCATTACAATATATTAAAGCATATAGCAGGAATAAACAATTTTCATCAATCAACCAACCTTCAAATGAAGAACCCTCTCTCTGCAGCATTCCAACCCCGAGCAAAGATCAGCCAATGCCAAAAATATCCCTTGCAAACGTTTGACCTGTAATGGACATTTTTTTAAATTCTCACACAATTTCTCCACCACATTTGCTTCAAATGCTTGGGTCTGCATATCCTCCTTTTCGGCTATCAAATTACACAACACAAAAGGAGTTTCATCACCAACTTGACTGGGATCGTCGAGAAGCTCAAGCAATACCAGGATCAATGTGTTCTTGATTCCCGAGTCTTGATGATAAGATACAGAAGTATTTCTTATGTTGATCAAACAAGTACAGGCCAATAATCTAGTCCGAGGATTCTTGTCAGTCATAAGCTCAATCAACACATTTAGGTCCCTTCCATTTTCAGGCAATACGAATCTTGAAGCAACTTCATGATTATCCTTGATGACTGCAGCCAGAGACTCTAAGCTAGCATCCCTCTGAACTAGAGAACCTCCAAGAAGATAAACGAGCTTCTTTATAACTCCAGCTTCACTCAGTACCTGCTGCTCCATATTTGTTTGGCACGAATGCGTGATAATACTCGCACCAAGGCCCGTAACATTCTCATTCTCGCTGTTGAGCAGTGAAAGGAGAAATTCTATGTTTTTCTCTTGGTGAAAATCATACCTAGGAGTGAGTCTTGACTGATAAATCATTTTTAGAGCACGTGCACTCGCATCAGCAACCTGCATCAGATGTTCCACGCGGTATCCAGTTTTTGGTAAAAATTGCATGTGGATTGTGGACACGAGGAACGATCATTAGAATCAAAGACATTCAGATGGACATGATATTGGATTCCCACATCATACTAATGTTAGCTTAAAGAAACAGAAGTTCCTGAAAGCGAATGCTCTACTTAGTTGCAAAAAAAAATCGCATGACAAACCAGCAGCTCCATGCCTAAGTCTAGAATTTCATTTATGCACTTCGATCATCAGAAGGAACAAATAAATTAGGTCAGATACCTAAAACTAACTACTAATTAACTCAATTGAGTCTCAGACCAAACTTCTTTCATTGCTGTTAAAACAAACTTATTATGCACCTGAACTATTTTTATTTTTTTTTTATCTTAAAAGAAGCAATTATAACTGAACAATCCCCATTTCTTTCGGAAAGGATAATGCGAGAAAGTATACCTTCTCATTCCGATGGAAAATAAGCTTCAGCAGAATAGGAAAAGCCCCGGCGTCGAGCACAGCCTTAACTCCAGCATCTAATCCACACGAAAAGCTCCCAATAGCGGCGGCGGACTGAACCAATACGGACTCATGGTACTCGAGATTACCACCCTCGCTGACCTGGGCGACGGCGGCAGCAGAGGAGGAGAGAACAGCGACGACGTATGGCACCGCGCCGAGCTTCAGAAAGGCCAGCTTTTTTGTACGATTTCCTATAATTTGGTTCTTCAAGTCCCTCAATGCTTTCAGCTTAGCCTCGCAGGGCGCGGCAGTGGAGTTCAGCCGAGCGATCAAATCCTCCGGACGGCTGGAATGATTGGATGGGATGGAAGACGGCATCGCTGCAGGTGAAGATCAATTTTACTGTCGGAAGCTTCAATTCCGGCGACGCCAGCGGAGCCTGGGCAAGGATGAACCGCCGCACGGTGGTGGCGGAGCTGGGAGCGGGCGGTGCTGGGGGTACTTTTGAGATGACGATTAATGATTATTTTTGTTTTCCGTTTCTTTTTTTTTTATATAGAGGTATATATAATTGCTAACAGCTAATTTAATAAAATTATTTTTGTTTCAGTCTTTTTTCGTTACACTACTACTAGTACAACACCCGTGTATTACACGGGTGCTTGTTAAAAAATTATTCTTAAATTTTAAAATTAATGAGAAAATTATATTAAATTTAGTTTTTTTTTTTTACAAAAAAAATATATTACTATATATTTTAGAATGATATGTGTTACTTATGACTTACATGTGCTATATTATATTAGTTTTTAAACTTATATCGGCCTTGTTTGTTTAATAGCGTTTTGAGAAGAAATTAGCTTTTTAGGGAGTTCAGCTTTTTTATTTGGTCAAAACAGCTAAAATTAGTGTTTGGTTAAATGGCTTTTTGCTTTAGCTGATTGGAGTAATAAGCTAAAAATAAAAACGCTAAGCATAGGAGCGTTTTGCAACAGCGTATTGGATAATTTTTCATTTTTCTTGTTTTTTTGTTTTTTTTGTTCTAACTAATCATGAGAGTGGATGATGGTCTTCTTTTTTAATATTAAAAAAATCAACAAAGCAATAGCATTCCTATGCCGTGGATGTTTCATTTGTAACCTCTATTTTTTTACTATTAAAATATCAACAAAACAATTGCATTCAGTGGTGTGAATGATCTATTTTTTAACCTTTATTATTTAACATAATATAACGCATGTATTTTTTGATAGAATCATTTATGATAACAATAAAAATATTACATGACATTAATTTTGTAAACATTATTTTAGTATTCTGAAATAATTTATTTGTAAGTTTAATTTTTATATTATTTTACTTATTACCTTTAATATAAAAATATTAGAAAATAATTTGAAAACACTTATTATATTAATAATATTTTTTGTTAATATAAAATAGTTAAACGAATATAACCAATGTTTATTTATATCAAAATTATTTTCAAGTTAATAATACAAAATATATTTTTATGAATCAATAAGCTACTTTTACCAAACATATTTTTGAAAACCGCTATTACATTCCGCTGGTCAAAACAGCTATTACAATCAACTAACAGCTAACAGCTAACCGCTAATAATTTTATATAATATATTAGTTGATAAATAATTTTATTTTTTTAAAAAATATTAAAAATAATTTTATAATTGTTATAAAGATAAATATAAATTATTTTTTTATACATACAATATGGATGTTAAATCGAAGCTCATCAAAAGAAGATTAATTTGATATATTACATATGTAAATCTGATAAAAAATACAAAAGTTATTAACTTTTAAAATATATATACAATTCAATAGTTATAATAAGGATGATATTAAAATACAATTAATACATGTAACATGACCATAAATAATCAACATATTTATGGTAATCCGAACCTAATTATTTTTGGTTTGGAATTAAATTAAAATTTACCCAAGCCTAATAACGAAGCATGTAATTTTGTCGCATAGGATTCCGAAGCACCAGAAGCAGCCACGTAGGCTCAGCACATTCTGTATTAATATATAGAGGGATATTCTTTCTTTTTATACTTTTCAAAAAAATTGTAACGATCTTATTAATCAATGGCAGCATGAATTTTTTCCCAGAAAATTAAAAAAAAAAAAATAAGTTGTAGATGAAAAAATACACAAACAAATGAGAATGGACCAAAATAAAAATCTCGTATTCAGTGAATACATTTTACTATTTTTTTAATTGTAAAACGTATTCACTGAATACGTTTTCTTTTGTAAAAAAATCTGAAAAACGTATTTAAGGAATACGTTTTCTATATAAATTGTATATAAAACGTATTCCTTAAATACGTTTTTTTTATTATTGTCCACTCCTTTTTTTTTTTTTTT